GTTGTCTCAAGCTATGGAGCTCTAAGAGATAGAGTTACTTATTTGGTAAATGTAAAGAGTTTTCAGGTAGAATATTCATGAGTCTATGTAGTTCTTCCCTCCTGGAACAATCAGTGATCAACATCCAAGAGGAGTGGTGGATGACATTTACCAGCCCTCACTGCTCTGAACACTGATCTTGGTCTTACAGTGGTGCCATTAAAATGAATAATGTCATTTAAATTAGAGGAAAGATGCAGTGATGTCAGCAACAAGCTGTCTCCTGCAGACGTAATGGTTTTGGCTTGCCTTTAGCTAACCTCTTCTTGATGGTCTTCTCGGAAGCCAAGAAAATTATTTGTTTATTTAGCCATTTATTTATTTTTAATTTCCTGAGTATTGATTTTTCTTCCTGCGAGTTTGAGAATCACAGAACAGTTGGGGTTGGAAGGGACCTCTGGAGATCATCCAGTCCAACCCCCTGCCAGAGCAGGGTCACCCAGAACAGGTCTCACAGGAACGTGTCCTGGTGGGTTTTGAATATCTCTGGAGAAGGAGACTCCACACCCTCTCTGGGCAGCCTGTTCCAGGGCTCTGGCACCTTCAAGAAGCCCCCTAACACAGATGACCTTCAGGCTACGCTAAAAGCAAGTCCAAGAAGCTGCCATATGTGCAAGTCACAGAAGAAGCCAGGATCTCAGCAGCACGTCCACACCTTGAGACAGCCCAGGGAGAGTGTGGTGGGTCAGGAACCCAGTGTTCTGCAGGAACTGGGACTGTGGGCTGTGAAAGGTAAGGTTTTTCTCAACCTGATGGTTGTTTATGGGCTTGTTGTCATATCGTTGCTAGAGTTACTAAAATACAAAGTTATTTTGGAAGTATTTTTCAAAATAAACTGCAGTTAAAGAACATGTTTCCTCTGCATTTTGAACAACAACAGCAAGTAACTACTAAAGTAGAGGGAAAGGCTAACTGGGAGATCTTCAATAGCTAAAGACTTGTCATTGCAAAGATTTGTAAAAGCTGAACCTTTGTAAACTTAATACAGTATAAACCCAATGCAGTATTTTACTGAATGAATAGGTGAAATCTAAAGTAGAGGGAAAGGCTAACTGGGAGATCTTCAATAGCTAAAGACTTGTCATTGCAAAGATTTGTAAAAGCTGAACCTATGTAAGCTTAATACAGTATAAACCTAATGCAGTATTTTACTGAATGAATAGATGAACCTTTAACTCTTTGATTCTCTAAAGCGTAACCTATTACTGAGTATTAATCTTTCAGAAGAGTAAAATAGTAATTTTTTGTATATATACTTGCAGTAATATTAAAACATCTCATGGCTGCCCTGCCTGTTCTTGCAAATAAATACATGAAAGTGCTGTCAGACAGTTTTATGGCTCCCCCATGGATGGCACTAATATGTACTTAAAATGTATTTGAAAATTCATTCTCTTATTTTTGGAAATTACCTTTGAGAAATGCTTAATCTCTACATGAAGCATATAATTGTATTTTTTTCATGAAAGTAAATGTTAGTCCTACATCTTCCTCTAATGGATGTAACTGCCTTGATTTAGCCTCAGGAAAATATTTCCCTGTTTGATTTCTTAATCTTAATGATTTTTTAATCTTAACTTAATATTACTTGAGTTTAATTCCAGATAAGCTTCCAGGCAGCGTGTCTGCTCGTATGTTGTTTTTTTTTTTTACTTTTTTTCTGAAAGCAATACAAGTCCAAGGTATTCTAGTGCTTCAGTAACTGAAGCTGTATTTGCTGTATTATAAAGTATCTCTGGAGTTTAATTCCAGATAAGCTTCCAGGCAGCATGTCTGCTCGTATGTTGTTTTTTTTTACTTTTTTCTGAAAGCAAAACAAGTCCAAGGTATTATAGTGCTTCAGTAACTGAAGTTGTATTTGCTGTATTTTAAAATAAGTATCTATCTCTCAAATGGTTATGAAAAACCAGTTGGAGCAACTGAAACCAGTATAGTGTCTACCTTGATGTTAACCCATACACTGAGTGTTCTGTGGCTCGGTAGCTCCCTCCATCCCAAGAACTGGACATCACGATATCATATTTTATCTTTCTTGTTCCACATGCAGTTTGCTAGGGCGATTTCTGTATCTGCTATTTTTATTTGCAAGTTTCCTTTGGGAGGCTCTCAACAGGAATAATATTTATTATTATTATTTGCATGGTCAGAAGGGATTTGCGCACTTGGAATGTGAAGTTTCGGAATTTTTAACACTTGTTCTTTCATGTATGTATAGTTAAGAGTATCACTAGGCAACTAAAACCAGATTAATCCCCATATCTATTTGAAGTAGAGAGAGGAAGGAGATGTTAATGGTAATAGTCTTTCATGTATGTATAGTTAAGAGTATCACAACTAAAACCAGATTAATCCCCATGTCTATTTGAAGTAGAGAGAGGAAGGAGATCTTAATGGTAATACAGAGGAAAGCAATGCCATTTGTAGTGAGAGATTGGATATAAAAGGGAAATGGAAGGGTTAGAGTTAACAGTGATGAGTAAGAGAGGCTGAAGGGAAAATATTCTTATGGGGAGACTGAGATACGGTCCAGAAGTCGAAGAGAAGTAATTTAAGTTGAGAAAGGGGCAAAGGGGAAGAGTTCAGTGACCACATACGGCTGATTATAAATGTAGAAAATGGATAAAGAGTTTGCTGCAGCTCAGCTGAAAGGTGGGTGTCTGTGGGGAATGAATGCAGTACCCTCACCTGGGGAAAATACCTGAATCTACACCATGTTATTGTCATGACAAGGTTTTGCTGACAGGAAAAGAGAATAAATATCCATAGTGGTTTTCCAACAAGGAGCAATGCGTATACAAAAGAAAAAAACATTGTGCTTTGAGTTAGTTTGGGGTTTTCTTGTTTGTTGCTTGGTTTTGGATTTTATTTATTTTTTTTCTAGAATGTGCTATGATTTGTAATTCAATACATTCTCAAGCTGAAGTAAGGTCCCCTGATACATAGCTTCAGACCATAGATAAAAATATACATTTTTATAATGATAAATTACTGACATTTTAGAAACTGTGCTATTGTACAATTGGTGACCTCTTAATTCAGGTTGTTACTGTTCAGATTCCATTACAACATTTGGACGTGAAAAATCTGGATAAAATGAGTCTATATGTGCTCTTCTATAAAAACGGTTTGATCTGTCTGAAGCTTTTAAGAACTCTGGCTTGTTTGTTGCTTGGTTTTGGATTTTATTTATTTTTTTTCTAGAATGTGCTATGATTTGTAATTCAATACATTCTCAAGCTGAAGTAAGGTCCCCTGATACATAGCTTCAGACTATAGATAAAAATATACATTTTTATAATGATAAATTACTGACATTTTAGAAACTGTGCTATTGTACAATTGGTGACCTCTTAATTCAGGTTGTTACTGTTCAGATTCCATTACAACATTTGGACGTGAAAAATCTGGATAAAATGAGTCTATATGTGCTCTTCTATAAAAACGGTTTGATCTGTCTGAAGCTTTTAAGAACTCTGGTGTAATCTGGAGTCTTAAACCTGCATTGAACTGGACTAATTTTATTACTTTATATTAGTACTTCATATTTAGAACAGTACAAAAAATTAATACCTGGTCCATTTGTTCTTAGTATTTCATCACTCAATCAGAAGGTTGTCCTGTGATCTTTCCCAGAAGTTTTATCTGAAATGGGAAGGGAAAAGAGAAGATGAAAAAGAAAGGTATTAAATAAATTATCAACTATTATTTTCATTCTTTCAATAAAGTAAAAAATCTTATAGTACTAAAAATTACAATAGTGTATTGTCTAAGTTACAAAAGTTCTCAAAATTCTGAGTTGATCACCTTTACACTTTTCTACTTGAGGGCAAACTTTTGTCCCTCCAAATAATGCAAAATTAAATAATAGTTATTGAATTAAATAATCATTAAGGAATATAGTCTTACATTTAATAATATTTAAAAGAATATATTCTATTACTCAGGATAATCTGTTGATGAGCTTACTGGCTGCGGAAATGATTCCATTCCTAGCTTTTGGCATAGTGTGATAGCTCGTGATACTTCCAGGAAATCAGAGAGAGGGAGAGAGATGTTAAAATTCCAGGGCATCTGGAGTTGGTGCTGAGATCTGAAGAGCGAAAATGAGGATATTGAAAGGGATCCTAATGCTAAGCCTTTCAAGATGATCCGCTACATATGCGGGATTTCATGCTGCTCTTTCAAACGGAACAGAGAAAAATTGATTTTTCTGTCTTGTTCAGCATGAATGAAGGAAACGTGCCAGCAGGCTGGCAGCTCCCACCCATAAACAGGTAGGGAGGGGATGCTCTGTGTGATTTATGGTCTCCATATAGGAAAATATTGAAAGAGCACAGAAACCGCTGTAAATACCCCATGAAATGCAAGCGTAAGTCTGTTTACTATTAAAGGTGATTTACTGCAGTTACACTCTCTCTCTGCTCCCTGTACTTTTTGCAGAAGGTAGAGGGGTTTTACACAAATTGTCTTGTTCAGCATGAATGAAGGAAACGTGCCAGCAGGCTGGCAGCTCCCACCCATAAACAGGTAGGGAGGGGATGCTCTGTGTGATTTATGGTCCCCATACAGGAAAATATTGAAAGAATACAGAAACCACTGTAAATACCCCATGAAATGCAAGCGTAAGTCTGTTTACTATTAAAGGTGATTTACTGCAGTTACACTCTCTCTCTGCTCCCTGTACTTTTTGCAGAAGGTGGAGGGGTTTTACACAAATAACAATATAAGCTTTTTATTCTGAGTTAGTGCAGAGTAACTTGTATATAGAATCATCACCTCTAGTTTTAGATCCTCTTTTAAGCTGTATAGTCCTTCTTTCAGGTATTTTAAGAACACCATAACAATATAAGCTTTTTATTCTGAGTTAGAATCATCACTTCTATTTTTAGATCCTCTTTTAAGCTGTATAGTCTCTCTTTCAGGTATTTTAAGAACACCAAGTTAAGATTTGAAATGAAGATGAAAATCACAATCAAGTAACACTTCAAAACTGAAGGTTTTGTAAATCTATCAGCTACTTTATATTATAGATGCAAGGAAGACCTGCTGTGCAGCTTATACCTCCACTCTAGATTTCTCCACAGGTAAACTTTTTCTTAAATATAGATGCTTTTGTGACAGCACTGAGATAAACAGAATCCCATTTTATCATACAGAATGGGAAATCTGTAGGCTATACCAATGATGATAACTGTGATCTTTATTGTGTTCTTGTGTATAATGCATTTTTAAAAGATTCACTGTTTCCATGTAAAGCAGAACTGGAGAGCCTGGTTACCAGAAAATGCTGTCACCTGCTTGAATATATTATTCTGCTCATCTGCATGGCTTTGAGAAGAGCTGACCAGTCTCTTTGCTCAGACATAAACCCGATTTGTGGCAACTTTTAGAAGTCAGCTCTTTGCTTTCTTTAAATCTTAGTTTTACTTAGCAGTTTATTAATTCACGTCCAGAAATCTCAATATGGAGAAAGTTAAGAAACGGAAAAAAAAAAAAATGCATTTGAAAAAGTCATTCTTATTGAATGCTGATGTTCGTGATAAAGTTGGAGCTCTGGTTTTCCAGCTCCCTGCCTTCCCTGCCCTGCCCTGATGGGTTTTACGATTTTGGAGTGTAGAAAGCTCAGTAGAAATCCAAATATCTGCTCAGCCAGAATAGTTTTATTAGCTCTGCTTTCATGAGCTCCTTTCAGATAGTTAAAGTGAGCATTGCTTGGTTTAGTAGGTTTTTTTTATTTGCACGGTATTCTAACAGGCATATTTTACACTCTACATAGAATTACTTGTTGGAGTGCAGTTTTGCTCTGTCTTCACTTGTGCCCGCCTCCTTTTTAACCACAAGTACATATTTTATCTGTTAGATACTGGCTTACTTAGCCTCTGTTCTTGGGTTTGGATTTCCTTTGTCCTTCCCCCACTGCTGCTCTTCTGTATTGAGCGTGGAGAGAAATTAAAAAGCTTATTTTGGGAGCTTCACCTACAGATTGTTTTCTCTCTGTTAAAGTTTGCTCTTTAATTGATTGGGAGCTTCACCTACAGATTGTTTTCTCTCCGTTAAAGTTTGCTCTTTAATTGATTTCTTTAGATACTTTGTGCTTCCTTCAAGCAGTTGACATATAGAAGCAGATGCCTGGATTTTTAGTAATACTGAATATTTTGGCTATTAACCCAAACTGCCTCTCCTCCTGCCTATTATACCTGTTAGACTGTCCCAACCCACAATGGAGAGCGAGTAATCAAAAATAGCTTTCATTCTGTTTTAGGAACTCTGATACTTAAATATGCACGAATCTAGAAAAGCAATCCTCCTTTCCCGCCTCGTCCCCAACTTTCTAGGAAACAATAGGAAATAATACTATTTCATTAATATCTCTTTTAAGAACAGCTGCTTAGAACCAGCACTAATGACATCTAAAATTATTTCTGTGAATCTGCCCACTCCCATTACAAATATCTTACCTTGCAGCTTTGCTTGTTCCACTTCCGCACCCAATGCAGTTTCTATAATTTACAAACTTCCTTCCAGCTTCTGAAATATTTCAATTTTGAATAGATGGTTCTATGCACATTTCTTTCCCAATGCGAGTTAAAAATCTTACCTCTTTTTAGATTCGCAGATGTTTGATTTTGGGTTCTCTTTAATAAAGAGAAGTCCTGACAATTTCCTTATGTCAATCCATCCCAGACCGGTGAAGTCCTTTCATGTCCCCCTTGGAATATCAGTGGTAATTCTTTTCAGTCAAAGTATTTTTGCCCAGACAGACATTGTTGGTCAAGATACCTGATTGACTGTATGAAAGCATAGAGCGCACCAAAGCATTTTCAATTATTAACTGTAAATTTTACAATATAGCTATGTAGCACTAAATAGAAAGCATAGTTGGCATTTTCACTTTCATAATAATCACCTTCACCAGGCATTATTTTATATAGAGCGCACCAAAGCATTTTCAATTATTAATTGTAAATTTTACAATATAGCTTGTAGCACTAAATAAAAAGCATAGTTGGCATTTTCACTTTCATACTAATCACCTTTAACAGCCATTATTTTATGTCATTCTTTAGGAATCCTAACAAGAAATAAAATAGAAGGTGAGTATGTTGGAATGTGCGTAGTTGCTACAGTCCTTTAAGTGTATCCTCCTCCTCAGGCAACGTACAGGATCTCCAACATTTTCAGTAGTTATTAATTGTATTCTTTAGGAATCCTAACAAGAAATAAAATAGAAGGTGAGTATGTTGGAATGTGCGTAGTTGCTACAGTCCTTTAAGTGTATCCTCCTATATCATTCTTTAGGAATCCTAACAAGAAATAAAATAAAAGGTATGTTGGAATGTGCGTAGTTGTTACAGTCCTTTAAGCGTATCCTTCTCCTCAGGCAACGTACAGGATCTCCAACATTTTCATTAGTTATTAATTGTACTTCGGAATGTGCGTAGTTGCTACAGTCCTTTAAGTGTATCCTCCTCCTCAGGCAACGTACAGGATCTCCAACATTTTCAGTAGTTATTAATTGTACTTTGCTAATTTCATTCTAGAGACAGAAATACCACTGGTCAGGAAACTCCAAGTATAACTCTTTCTATTTCAAATAACATATATAACAGGTACGAGAAAAATCTCTGTAGTCATCTTCTCATAAAAGTGCTTTCTTTTAACCACTTTCCTCCCCTTTTAAGGCCTTAATAATAAAGCTGAATTGTAGTTCCTGTCCATAGGCAGATGATTAAACATTCTCACCCTTATATAATACAATTTCCATTTTATTTTAAACATACTTTGCATGATATAAAAATATTGATCACAGTGAGCTTTAACAATTGTTACTGCTATAAACAGAAATGCTGCACAATGGTTTTAGTGGAAATAAATTATATAGTCATTATCTCTTTTTAAAAAAAAAAAAAAAAATCACAAGAGGAAGAACCTAGGCTGTTTGGTCATTGGCAGAAAATAAGTCCTTATTGAGTCCTTTACAAAACATGAATCCCAGTTGTTTTCTACACTTGCTTTCCACGTCTTGAGAAAAGCCCAACGCGTCCGTCTCCGAAAGCCCCACAGGGTCCCTGGTGCACATTTAATTCCAAATATCAGCAAAAAGTTTCTGCTGTTCTTTTGTTCTCATGGAAAAAAAGGAACTAGTACACCCAGGCAGGGAGTCGTGCTCTCTCTGCTAATTCAGGAGTGGTCTTTTCCAGTATGTGGGGACGCAGCGGCACACTTCTTCGCTGAAGTAGAACCCAGCCTCGCAGCGTTTCGTCCGGACTGTGCAGGGCGGTCTGTAGCAACTGAGGGCATGCAAAAAAAAACAAAAAAAAAAGGGGGAATTAATGAAACAAGATCATTCATATGAAGCTGGAGTAGAAAGCTGTGTACGGTTAGGCTGCCGTTTCTCAACGGGATACTTCATTCCTACAAATGCGTCTTTTAACTTCTATTTGTGTTCTGGCATAAGAAGGTCTTGAATTGGACTGTTCTTCACAAAAGCCAATGAAAGAATGAATAATGACTGCTATTGAAGAGAAATTATTCTATTGCAACAGATACTCATGAATATTTTTAACCTACTGCCTGGTTGTGGTCGCATTCTAATCTTCACTAGTACTTTTTAAAATTTAATATTGAAAATGCAGCGATATTTTTCTCTACTTCAATGACCTACTGCATGTTTGAGGTGGCAATCCAGACCCAGGTGGTGAGCAAATGTACCATCTTCTCACCAAGGACTGTTTCTCACCTCATTCACTGCTGCAACAAGCCCAAGAGAGATTTCTCTGCCTTTGTTACCCCCCGACTCTGATCTGGAAAACCAAAACATACATCCTTCACACTGCAAACTCTTATATCCATCCCCTGAGGCCAGGGGGGGACATACTGACACCTCACATGGCATCTATCTATGGAATAGATCACGTTTATGGTAAATCTTAAAGAAAAAAAGAACAGAAGTAGTCCTTACTTGATTAAAATAAGTTTAACAGAGCATTAAACCACAAGTCACATCTACCTAAAACACAGCAGAATTTTTCTTGACAGATTCCTTGACTGAAAAATAGAAGTTATACAAAGATAGTATCTGTGGTTGTCCCTGAACTCTTCCTTTTCCTATTTTATTTTTCTATTAAAACAAGAAGTTGACCTAAAATAACCTTAGAATAACAATGCTAAATACTTTCTGGTGTATAATGGAGACAAAGTACAAGTCTGGGGTTTTGTTTTTTTTTCAGACTCTGGCAAGGAGTCAAAAGACAAAAGTATATGTTTCGAATTTCAACACCGAATTTAAATAATGTTTGTGAAACACTGATATTATGATCTATGACTATAACTCATACTTACTTCAGTTCAAAGACACAGAGTATGCTATATTAAGGCAATGTCAGTCTCCTTTTCCTGAGGCAACTCTTCTTTTGGGCTTGTGGCTACTCTCTCTGTTGTTGCAGATAAGTGAATATGGTGTGTGCTTCTTTTGGACACCAATTTACCACTGGGCAATAATTTGTTTATGAGATGAGGTCTGGATTAGAGTTACATTAATTCAAGGCAGCCAGTACAACCAAGGAACCTGGCTATGAGGAAAACCACGAGGAATGAGGAAGGCTGCAAACATGACATTTATTAACTAGTCACATCTTGCTCAGTGTTTGCAATGTCGTTAATCACAGATTATTTCACCAGTGTGGTCTCTGTAATTAAGGGAGTGACATGATTTTGTGCCACTTCATATAAATATTTGAGATGAGCCTAGCAGCTCACGGGAACCTCTCAAAGCCCTACTCATTTGGTGTTTGGAAATCATGGTAAAAGGCAACAAAAATCACAGTGTCACTTGAGAAAGAAAGCAAGAGAACTTTACTGTCTCACTTCTTCACCAAAGACCTAGTGCTCCGAGCAAACAGGCAGCCAGCAGTGGGTTGTTCTGGGGAAAAAAGGTACTTTGTAGAGATGCAGTGGATGAAACACTGATCTCACCTGCCTTTTTTCCCCATCCCCACCAGGAAAGTTAGAGTATTTAATGTAGTGACTGACCATAGGAGAATAATGAATGAAATAATGAAATAAGAGAAAGGTATGGAAAAAAAAAATGAAAAAAAAGAAAAAAGAAAAAAAAAGAAAAAGCTCAACTCTTCCACCCACCTATGCCTTGTTGCACAAACCAAGCAGCAGCCAGGTCATCATTAAATAGGGGGGCTCATTTATGAACTGCAACCTTCACTTAAAGCATCCCTCCCCTGGGAGTTTGTGTCCAGCAGTGGTCAAGGTCAGGTCACCACAATTTTACCCTTATCTGGAACATTTCAACAGAGCAAGAAGGGCCCTCTCCTCCTCTAAAAGGCTCTGCAGCTGAGGTACCTGGTTATCTGGCCCGGCCAAAACTGACCAAAATACATTTCTGAGGTGAAGGCACCGGGTGAACAGTAGCGGAGTCATTGTAACTGTATAAATGTGGTTTCCTTAGGAAACTCTGCTGAACAATAGAGCAGCGCTTTCAAAAGATTAAGGCTAAATGTTGTTTATGGAGTGCTTCCATGTGACAGAAGCCCGTGTTGATGAGGCCAGTCTGAGGGTGCTGGAGCTAAGGTAGGTGAGCAGCCCATGCGTGTAGTGCTGGGTGAGCTGGTGGTAACTTTCTCTTTATGGTCAGGAATTGTGGGGTTTTTTGGCTACCAAAAGCTCAGGTTTGAGATTCTGAGCAGTCAGTTTTGTTGGGCTTTTTACTTTTCTTTTTTCAAAAAAAAAAGTTTTTCTTCCTCAACAGTGCTACTATCTACAGGGCTACTGGTTGGAGAGCTGTGCAGTAACACTATATGCAAATAATTCTCCCTCTCTACACAAAGATAAACTGCTTAGAAAAGAGAAACAGCTAAAAGCACCCCATAAAACATTGTCCTTGCAAGTAAGAAAGGGGTTCAAACTCTTTATCGTATCCAACCACAACATCCCAGAGAAAAGCTCAAGGTAATCAGATTGGTTTTTTCCCCTCTGCAAACATAAAATTAAAATAAAAACTGAACGATAGAGAAGAATTATTTCTTATGTTTTTAACAACTCTTCTATTCCACTCAACTGGCCAAACAGGAAAACACATAATGTCAGTTACTATTAATCTTATCCTCTATTTTAGAGACTTCAATACGGGTCTCATTCCTAATGAGACATTCCTAGACATTTTTTCTTTATTCAAGATGAACTAATTCTATGTATCTGGCAATATATTTATTACTAACTTCATGTGATATAAAAACAGTACGTAAGGTTTACTTTTGATAAGAAGACATTTAAATGTCCCAGTTTTTCTGACCACAGGCATCTAAATGTCCCTATTTTCTATTTTTCATTTCCAGTGCCTGAACTAATATAATAGAAGGATTCCCATATATTACTAAATAAGTGGTCTTTCTGCTCCAAATGGCATTGCTTCTGTTTTAACAAATTTACTTTACAGGAAAACTTTCCTCACAACATCCATGAAGCAAAAATGAAACGGTTTGTTTCTGAGAACCTGAAATCATTCCCATTTTTCTATACAGACTGCTACCACTGCGGGTGTAGCTGTCGGGGAAGGAAAAGCTGCCATGATATATAAAGAAACTGCAGAGTTTTTTTCCTGACCAAATCCCATTTTAAATGATGAATGTGGGCAGCCTGTTTTATAGTTATATATGTTTACTTTTCACAGAAATCACCCAGAGCTATAAAGGATTCTTTATGCACTCAAAAATGTTTAGTATCAGTTGAGTAAAATGAAGGATATGCAAAAATTTAGGAAGGGAAAACGAATGATGTTATCTCCAGAACTAACCCATCAAATCTAATCAGGAAAATTTGAGTTATTTCAATTGCAATATTCAGTTCTGGGGAAAAATAGAGTGGGATTTTAAGTAGCATAAAAAAAATGGGGAGCTTGAACTTACAGCTCATTTTCATCAAAAGAAAAAAAATTAAATCACATGAAGTAGTAATAGGAGTACAAGAAACTACACATGCTTTAAAATATTACTTCTGCCCCATTGTTTCCTCTTAGAGGTGATAAAAGAAGATAGAAGTGAACTGAAGAGAGTTTTAGTGTTTAGTTAAGGCTACAAAGCAATCCATCACGGCAACTAATAACTGAAAATTTTACGTCTTGAACACAGCGAAAGAGCTAAAGACTGAGTTTTTACCTGCATGTCTGGTGATGGAACCTTTTTCCTTTCAAGAAGCATTTATTGGGAGATTCTATACATTCACAGGTGCACTTTGCAGGATTTAGCGGCTGATGTTTGGGACAGGTCTTTTTACACACACACTGGCATTTCTCTTCATCGAACTCCTTGTTGGGCCCGCAGGAACCGGGGAGAAGTTTGTTTTTGCAGAGGCACTGACACGACGACCTGTCCAATTCCTTGTGAGGTCCACAGCTGGAGGGCCGCACGCCCCCTTTGCACACACACTGGCAGGTCTCCTCGTCCAGCTCTTTGTTTGGGCCACAGAGATGGAATCCTTCTGACGTGTCTAGAAACACAGCGGAGAAACCGCACAACTATCAGCATCTTGCCTCTACCCATCTCCTGTTTTTAAGTGAAGAAATGGTATTTAATTTGTACCTTTTACGATGTTTTAAGAGCAAACGTATGTCAAAAGACAGGCAACAATCAGCAATAACATTGATAAAAGATTCAACTATTTACTTTTCATGTTTTTAATTTCTCTTTTAGCGAAATCAAAACATGGAACGACATGTGACCGTTTAAGCAGAGCTGCTTACCAGAATCCCCGAGGTGAGAAGAGAAACCAAACTCATGCTGTGACAAACATCTGCAGATTTGATTATTCCAGATATGATTTTTTGGACAGGTCTTGTTTGCCACGTGACACCTGCGGAATGAATTATACTGTTGATTTATTATCATAATATCTGAAGAAAAACATCTATTTTAGGTGCTAAATTGCTTTTGTTTCCCTCCATTACAAAACCCTTTTGAAAAGCTTCAGCTCATTCAAAAACCGTATTAACTCCTATCAAATCTGTTACTAATTAAGGTTCTACCCACTATGGGAATCATCAACTATTTGTTGAGGATATGTTCTCACATCTCAAGTTTTAGCTCTAACTTCTAGAAACCGATATTTGTACTTCCCTAAGGTACTCTGGAAACAGATCTAACCCTTGAAAGGAAGCCTCATATAGAAAATAGACCAGTATAAAAAAAACTTGTGTGCCAAATACCACATAGGTGGTTAACAGGCAAAATTTTCTACATTGATTTTTGCAGTACAAAAAATGTTTTCACACATAGAGACATCAAAAGAGGGCTGATAATCGTTTCTGAATGAATGCTATAGACCAAACTCTAATTTCTGAAACACAATCAGATTATCAGATTCCTTTCCCTTTTACGTGAAAGTTACGTGACATGAACTAACTCCTTCTCATCAGCCACTCCAATCCTGGGCAACTTCCTTGAATCTAAAGATTTGGACTCCAGCAGAGATGCCTCTTCACTTTAGAAATGAAAGACAATAAAACAATTGAACAGTTTAATGCTCTTTGCCTGCTGGAGTTTTGTAGCCAAGGTGGCGGTACCAAAGAAAACATTTAATCTATATATTTAATCTATACAACGTCCAAACCACATCTAAAATAGGCTTGTCAATCAGTTCTGAAGTGCCTACCCACAAACCACGTGACAAAAAACTCCTCATAGAGACCTGGATCTGAATGATGTATATTGAAGGCTCCTCTGCTCCCCCAACCCAAAACCCAAAACTTCTAAAATGAAGAGCGACAATTTTCTTAGTTGCATGTCCTGATGAAATTCTATATAAACAGAGAAGAGTATAATTTAAGACCCCAGTAATCCAGGAGGTGTTCTGAAGCACGTGCCTCAGCTCCGCGAGTGTGTTGAGGTAGATACTACTTTTTGGAAGGAAAAGAAGGAGAGAACAGGGAAAGCCCTAGACCTTAATTCTCAGGGTAAAGTTTTTCAGAAATGTCCTGATGAAATTCTATATAAACAGAGAAGAGTATAATTTAAGACCCCAGTAATCCAGGAGGTGTTCTGAAGCACGTGCCTCAGCTCCGCGAGTGTGTTGAGGTAGATACTACTTTTTGGAAGGAAAAGAAGGAGAGAACAGGGAAAGCCCTAGACCTTAATTCTCAGGGTAAATTTTTTCAGAAAATATGTTTTATATAAAAACAAAAAGAAGATCAACTATTTGTATTCTATCTTACATGTCATTTCTCTCTTTTTTCTAACAGGTGCCTGGGCATAGAAAAATATGTTTTATATAAAAACAAAAAGAAGACCAACTATTTGTATTCTATCTTAGATGTCATTTTTCTCTTTTTTCTAACAGGTGCCTGGGCATTGTGACATAATCCAGTCTTGAATTCTTACAAAACCCTGAGCGTTGTTACCCTAAACCCAGAGATGACACTCTTGGCTTTTCTTTGCAGTGACACATGAGGAAGCCACGACTATATTTCTGTTAAAATTAGCATGTACATAAATAGATGCACCCACATCGATCTGCCACTGTGACAAGAAAGTACACTTCCAAGTTTGGGCTCTATGACAGTTTTATTAGCGTTAAACCTCTAAATAAAAATGTTACGGAAAAATAAGAAGTCGAAAAGAAATTGAGAAGAAAAAAATGCCAGTGGGATTCTGAAGAGCAGCCAGGCACCCACCAGGAACATCTCTACTTCCCCTTCTAGAATCTACAAGCACTCACCTTGGTTTGGTTTGCGTTTTTCCCCCCCTATTTTCTTGAAAAAGCCACAGATTTTAAAGACAGTACCTAAGAGCAGAGAAGCCCTGTATGTATTCTGAGCTAGTGCTCCTCGCTCGTCCCTTTCCTGGAGCACGATCCCTTACTGGGAGTGCTGGTCAAAGTGTGGTGGCCAAATGTTTAATTCCCTCTAATTATGGCAGCTGCTTCCTGCCAGAATAAACTCTTGCAATGGGCATCACCCCTGCTCTTCGGCTGGAAGCACGAGAAGCTGCCAGCAGTCAGCACAATCTCACTTCATTAGTGACCCTTGGGGTTTGAATTGTAAAAATCTGTTCGTTACGCAATTAAACTATTAATACATTTGTTGCCTATATTTTTCTAGCCCACTGTTAATGACCTGTGTTTTGATGAACAAATTCAGTAGTTTGAATGCAAATAGAATATAATCCCCATTTAGCTGGAACATGTCAGAAAACAGCCCGACTTTAAGTGAATGAAAGCACAGAGGAGACAACCCAGCTTCCAGCATTTTGCACTATTCCTAATAAAACATGTCTACAATTAATTCCAATTCAGCTTCTAGTGTTGCTTCCTCCCTACAGCAAATGTTCCTCGGTTATGTATTTTTGTTCTACCGAATATTTATACATCATTAAACCATCACTCTGTTCTGCAGAACAAAGGGAAGGAATTCTTCAACTGCTCAGTTGTTCCCTCTCTGACTTTCTCCTTCAAAATCACCAAAGAAATCAATATGCTAATTCTGCGGCCTGGCAATTAACCCTGTATTCCCCCTTCCCATTCTGTTTTATTTTTACTCCTGGCATATGAAAAGGTCCAAAATTTAGTCAAAGGTTCCCTAAAACCAGGTCTCTTTTTTAGCAGCGTTTCAAATAGGAAAATACAGTGTTAGACAGAAACGCTGTCTAATCCTTATTAGCAAAAATAAGTATTTTGTGATAGTTTTATGATGACTTTCTTTAATTAAAAAAATCACAGAGTGATATGGGGTTGGAAGGGACCTCTGGAGATCATCTAGTCCAACCCCCCCAAAAAGTTGATTTTATTGATGTTTCCTTTATGCTTTAATTGCATGGGAGCTCTTTCTGTGAAACAAACCCCACAGACAACATTCTTTTTCATTTTTAGACTGTCTAGTTCCAATTTATCCACTGGGTTGAAAGGGAATGTTACTTTAGTTAACATTTTTCTCCACGTAAAACAATTTACATGTAAAACACGTAAAGCTCCCGGGAATGTTTAAGAAAAAAAAACGAAAAAATAAAAATTAAATATAGGCTTGTTCGTAATGTGATGGGAAAGCCAAGTCTCCTACTCACTGAGTTTGTGTTGCTGGCAAGGACCTTCTGATGATGGAATGGACTTGTCTGTAAACATCCAGCTTGGACATGCAGCGGCAGGAGGTGTGATTGGCAAAGCTGACGGTGACGGGCTTGGGGCCGTGCGAGAGAGGCACCGTGATCTCAAACAGCTGTGACAGGGGAAGAAAGATGGGGTTCATACACCAGGAACAGCATGACTTTTAAAAAAAAAAAAAATAAATACAGAAAAAAGCTATAAGGAATTTAAGTTTGGGGTTTTGTTCTCTGTCGTCATTCAATTATACCACTAAGTAATCATCATGTGCAAAATAAGCACAATAGCGCTGCCACCATAATTAACATTTTTAGTCTTAAACTCTGTTACGTGCCTGTTTGGCACCAGAACGTTCAAACTGACATTGTACCTTTTCCTCTTTTAACAAAGAGCTCATTTGTCCAGAGGAAATGACTTTACATTGGCAGCCTTATAAAAAAAAAAATATCTAAAACGTATCATTTGGAAAGTGCTTCAAAAAGTTGGAAAACAAGAGTAACTTAAAAAAAGGGGTGAGCTACAGCCTCACGCAGCAGTTGCACAACTACAAGAGCTTGTGTAAAAGAGCAATATATTGGACTTGGATCAAAACCTTTTTGGATGAACAAGTTCTGAATTGCAGCATACTCTGACTCTCCAGTACTTGTATCAATGCTAAATGTACGGTTGCTCTAACAGAATGCATCTTCAACTATTACATTTTGGGGGGGATATTAAGAAATATTCACTATTAATAAAATAACCATGTAGGTGAACAAAAAAAGAGGACAATTTCAGCGATACCTTGAAAAACTGGACAAAGAGGGAGCCTCATGTTGGTACCCAACTCAGGGCATCTGCTTTATCAAATTAAGGTTTTGCTGTGAGACTCACACCTCAATAGTCTCCCGAAAAGCTGGGATGAATACTTCAGGTCAAAGCTTTTAAAACTATTTTTGGCAGTATTTTTAAACGGGTAATAGTGCACTGTTGTCTTATAGGCAGCAGTATATTTTTCCAAATATATTTAAGGATATTTCTGCACCTTCTAGGGACTTTTCTACCTTTAAGAACGTGGCCATTGGTTATTATTCCAGTTTCAGTTGATGAGACTGTATTCAGCTAATTTTTAGCTGAAACCTGTTTGCAGTCATTATCAATAACAATGCATGGCATACAGGCAGCACACAAATGTAATGAAAATGCTGGTAATTTTAAATTATACAAAACGCGAAGTACATCTGCAGATCTCCTGAAAACCACACCTTGCACCAAAGCTGGCAAGTGAGTCTGGGTGCCAGCAAGCCCAGGGGTGTAGCAGGAGATAAAGGGGCCCTTGTGCAGTGACAATAAAGCTCCTACTATCGATACACCCAAACTGCACAACTTAAACCTAAACTGTATAAAGCATCATCAACTCTTATAGCTATTATCTAGTTTACAAAACAAATTTTGATGGTATCTCGTGACCAGATCTTTAAAAAAGTATAGCATAAGAAGTGTCATCATTCAAGAACTGAAATGGCAAAAGTATTATATTTACATGTCGGTTTTTTCATTACAGAAGATGACAATGTTATTATTTTGCTGCAAAAAGTACCACATCCCTTATATTAGTTTTAAATTGGTTTTGGTTTTTTTTTCCCCCACTAGAATCTAAAAATACAAACTGATATATGTTTGCTTTTGTAGAAAGAAAATTAAAAAGAAAACATTTCCCTGCCTTTTCCAAATACTGATGAAATAAACTATCCATCTAGGAAGCTACTATGGAAGGAGTTTCTCTTGTTAAAGAGACTTTTAGTCAAAGCATATTAACATTTGGATTCTTGCTCCAGCTGCAAAACAAATAACACTTCTTAAAATTTTGGTCTTGAGTCATTAATAAGATGAGGGCACGAGTCCACGTCTAGTTTAAAGTGTGGTATCAATGAAATGAACGCCTAAATCAGTGTCTGCTTCTCTCAAATGTGATTATCACCAGACACACCTCCAGGGTTTGAACCAAGTTCAACACAGACTTCTGGAAATGGACTTTATCATCAACTTATTATACTTATAATCCTTCTTGGCTTCCAAACCAATATTGGCGCCTTTACCCTTATCTATTATAAAAGTTCCTTAAAATTAATCACAAAAGGCGTTCTTACCAAGATGCCTCATCCAAAAAGAGCAGCAATCGTATCACAGAGCTATCATTTTCATACCAATATTTTATATGAAAATAGCTTTACGTAGTTATTCACTTCTTTTTAAAATATCCACCTGTCTGAAGGCCATCATAGGTTCTTATAATGCACAATTTAAGTAGGAAACTGGAGAAGAGGAAGGTGGTGGTGTAGATAACGAGACAGCAAGGACCATGTTTGTGAGAAATAGCTCTCATTCTGCATTCAGTACACATTTGAGAAAATACATGCCGAGTTCTTTGGGGATCTGTTTTTTAAGCACTGACCTTTACTCATGACAAAAATCCCCCCCATACACAAGACTTGTGTCTGTATTTAAACAAGTTGGGCTTTCAGAAGGAAATCCTCAAGGCCCAAATCTTCTCCCCCTTCCCAACTTCATATTAGTAAAAAATGGACAAATTCATGCTACAGGCAATAGGAAAATGACATTTCCTTCGTGTTTGTTCAAGGACCAAGGCCTAAAGACAAACATTTGGGACCAACAACTGCAAAGAACAAGCTTCAGTCCCCAGAAGAACACGAGATCCCACAGCAGTAGGGATTAGGGCAGTTTTTTCAGTGGAGAGCTTTTATTGCTTGCAGTTTTGAGAAAAAACAGTAGTAATTAGAGTACCTTAAGCAGCAAATTAAAGTACATTAAATGAGCATTGCTAAAGTTATACTCAACTTGCCCATGTTGTCCTATGCATCTGCACTACCAACAGTGTATTGAGGGCAGGAAACCAGTGGAGCGCAACCACCAAAGCAATATTGCTAGCATAACTAAACAGTATTATATCTAACAAAAGTAAACAGAAAAAAAATGCCCAAAAATTTCGGTAAAAGCTCTGTCCTAACCTTGTCCACATGAGCTAATATCCTAAGTCAGTAACTATGTCAGTATACTATTAATCTCAGTTTATAACACATACTAACGAAAGCTCTATGGCACTGAAGAACAGTTGAAAAACATATATAGTTAATGCATTTCACATGAACATAACGTGCTGTTCAGCCAGTCTAAGGCTGTTTTGTCACAGAAACCCTGTTTTCAGGTCTTCCATTTCTCACCAGTTCTTTCTTTTCTTTTCAAAGTGCTGTGTTCAGCCCTTGTCCCTTTGGTCTTCACCCAATATGACAATTCTCCACGCCAGCCTCCCCTCATTTCAGCCCAGCAAGCTTCCCTTTCAGCCAGCCAGCCCACACAAAGCTTGATTTCCCTTCCCTCTTTTTGGGCTCCCCAGCATAATTTCTGGCATTCTGGCACACGCACATCTTGTCCCAGCTACTTTTGGATCAGCCAGGTTCCTTCCTTCTCGACATGATAAAGGTGGGTGGACAAATGACAGGCTCTCCTTAGAGGATGGGATTTGGGTGCCTAGATCTGAAACTGCATCAGATTTTTGTTCAGCTCCAAGTTGGAAAGTGTACTTAGTGACAAATACAAGTCTCCCAACAATTCCATTTGCTTCCTTGATTTCTTTTTTAACACTTAAAAGTATGCAGACTCTCTCAAAGATAACAAACCACACATTTCTAACACAAACAAGTGTCATATCCTTTACCTAAAATAAGGGAACATGACATTTTTTTTCAGAGAAAAAAAAAAAAAATCCTAGTTTTTGTTTTATCAATAAAGCCCTACATACTTCTCTCTCACTCAAGAAAAAGCAGAACCACCCTTTTTGCAGAATTTTTAAAGAAAAAAGCTAAGAAGTAAAACCAACACATCAAGCCGAGTTGGACACCTGGCAGAGAAAAATTTAACCCCTGTTGTTAAAGAACAGCAAAGTTAGGCTGAGAAGGACAAGAGAGTTTATAATGGAGCACGTCGGGTAATCTTAACATCTCCCTGGTTAAACTAGAGTTGCTCACCATTCAACAAGATCTGTCATGAAAAAACTCAAGGCTTTTGTACAGTAAATGGCTAAAATAGAAATTTTTGTGCTAAAATCACGACAGCCATTGATGTTATATAGATTTTTTTATAAAAAAGTTTTGGTTGCAGGACATTTTTAAATTATTTTTTTAAGGATATGTAGTTTCTGTAGTTCCCACTGCCCATTATCAAGAGGACTTTATATCTGCCTTTCAACCTAGCCAAACTCAAAACATTCTTCTTCAATAATGAAGGAAGGTCATTTTTCTTCATCCGTTTGGATTACACAATCTGTAATAAGGAGTATTTTAGGCTTAATACTGAACCTTCATTCCACTGCATCAGCCAAAATTAAAAGGTAGCATATCCTACACACCCAAACGTCAGCTTCTTACGCTTGTATTTTCTGCCTCCCTGTACAGATAGGTATATAATTAAAGAACTTTTAAGACTAATACAGAGGTAAGGGAATAATTAAATAACTTTTACCTTCATTTATCCAGCTACAAATTATTTTTTTAACCCTGGATATTTGTTCTTTTACACATACATTTTTTAAATCCTTGAAGATCAGTGCACACACTCAGGTGAGAAGCACAGCAAGAGACACTGGGCAAAGGTGTCTCTGAATTGCTCTCCACAACCTGCAATTACTGTGATGCCCAGTGCACCATCCCCGTCCTTCCCAGCCTGCCAAAAGCACTGTAAGAATTCCTGTAAAAAAAAAAAATTCCCATATATTCCTCTTCACTGATCCTTAGGAAGCCATGTATTTTTGATTCACTGCACTGATAGCTCCTTTGGACTAGAAGCACATCATACCATACATTCCAGAAAAAAACTGGTGATTTTTATAGAAAGAATTTCTTTGCTTTGGTAGCTAAATTAATTTATTCAGCACTGTCATCATATGTGCCAATATCCATTGTATCAGCACACATGCAATTATTAATATTATTATTATTATGATCACTGACAATTGAAATATAAAATAACTCTCATTTTCCTATCAGAAAGAAGGAAGCTTATCGCTGTAGATACTTTTCAAATACAGAATTTATGTATGATTTTTTTTCCCCAGATTACAGTAACCACACTACGTTCTTCTGGTGGACTGTGGGTTATTTTAAGAACTTTTCCTTAAATTGATTGTCTCTCAGTTTCCATCACTTGTGATCTTTGCACTTCTTTAAGTGACAGTAGGACTGGCCAGATGCAACCTGTGTAACAGAGCACAATGTGTCTAGAGAGATTTTCAAGCTAAGGATATAAGACTTTTTGATTTCAAAACTCTAAACATCTTTATAGAATAGAATCATAGATTCTATTAAAATCTAAACATCTATTCTATTAAATCTAAACATCTCTATACCAGAAAGAATGAAAATAATCTATTTGAAAAATGGTACATCATCATTATTTATTTTACTATCTAAATCTTTCAAAAAAAGAGTATTTCAAGGCTTATGCATGACATAACAGGTAACTTATCTGATACAACACATTTTATATCTGTTTAATACGCTGGGATTCCTTATTCTATGTTTTTATATTTTAATCACTTTTTTTCCCCAGAAATTGTAACAGAAACCATTAGGAATTTATACTGATGTATCTCCCACTATTAATAGTACCTACTATATCACAGAATCATGGAATGGCTTGGGTTGGAAGGGACCTTAAGGACCATCCAGTTCCAACCCCCTAAACTATATCATTACAGTCATCACTCTAACAGAAAAATGCATGGGAAAAGGCAGAAATGGTAAAGTTCAGAACGACTGAAAATTCTTGTGACATATGCATCTTCAAACTGTGTAAAGGAACACCATGTACATCTCAAATATGGGAAACAATTTCAAGCTGTTAGCTTGTTTCCTGTGAGAACAGCTCCTCTAAATCTAATTTCAAACTGCTTAAAACGATGTTTTCCCTTGAGGGACTATTACTGTAACCACGAAACAAGATTTAAGACCTTTACATCAAATGTGCTGAAATAAGCCAAAAAACTGTCTGTCTTGCCAGCCAAGAGGAAGAATGGAATGAGATGGCTCTTTAATATCTCCTCACTGTTTCCCTTCAACATATAGGCGAGTACCTACAGGTGGGACATAAAAAACTCCAGCTGAGGGACAGGCTGTTGCTCCACCAGGTAGTTCCAGTCTTTGGAACTGTTGTTGAATTACTCATGGAAACAGAGAGCAGCTGCTCGATTAATGACGAATTAGAGAAAAATCCAACACAACCACACCACAAAACCAAAACCCAACCAACCACCCTACCCACAGACCTGCACTAGACAAGCCACCACTTATAAAGTTGGGCTGCTGCAGTGTCACGGGTCAAGGAGAAGGAAAAGATCTACTGCATTTTATGAACTAGCCTGGGGCGTCCTCAAATATTCTCACAGAACTTGCACCACATCTTAATTAAGAACTTGTCTCGCATCCCGATCATGACTATGTAGACACCCCTTAGCAGCTACAGAAACAGTTTTTGTGAAAAAAATGGCATTAGAAGCAAAGCAGAATACTTTTTTATTTTTCTCCTAGTAAAGTTAAGTAGCAAGAAAGAAGAAGCACAGCCCAAACTAGAGAACTTTTGATCTCTTTCTGGACCACCGCACTGTTCCAAAAGCCATCTGGGATCATCTGACCTATTCCATTCTCCTGCCAGTCAATGATTTGCTCCCCATAAAAATAACTTCTATGCTTAGCTCTGTCCTTTTTAATTAATTTTCATGAAAGCTGATATCAACTTTCTTTAGATTTTAATGTCTGGAATGAATTCTAGAACTTGCCCTCACAGTAAGACCTTCAGCTGAGCACTTTTTCTGCAGGGTGAACAGTATGAAGTTACTGGATGGAGTTTATGCACCAAAAATAAAGCTACAAAAATGGTGACTTATGAAAAAAAAAAAAAAGCCAGGTTACTAACCATTGGTTCTCATTTCATTCAGGAAATAAAAGGAAAACAGTAGTGAAAATAGGTGCATAGGGTACCTGAATTCCACAGAAGGGTCTTGAATCCAATACTTTTTTCTTCCTAATTCTCATCAGCTATAGGGTAAGCTGTGGTGACAGAACTTTGAAAAGATTTGAGATGATGACAGATGAGGAGATATAGCTATAGCTCTCTGCCTTTATAAGGGCTTTTTAAAGACTGCGTTCTGTCAAGGGCCAGATAAAACTGGAAAGCAGAAGCAAGATAGAAAACTGAGAAATTAAATTGCTTGCTTTTACACAATAGGTAAGAAAACAAACCAATGCTATTGCCCCTTTTTTCTTTCTGATACATCCTTTAACATTTTCCTTTTCAGAGTCTGTCAAACCTTTAACTACTCCTGTATCATATCATTGCCAATGACATCAGGAACTTAAAAAAGAAACCCAGTACTAGTCTAAAATTTCTCTACTGGGCCAAAAAAAATTACTTCACTCAATAGATATGCATAGAGAGATGAATAGAAAAGGATTATTTACCCCAAACTGACAAGGTGCTCAAAGACCAGGAAATCAAACCTGTGCTAAATGCAATAACTCCCTCTGTAACAAGACCAGCCTTTATTCAAGACAGCTAAACTTTATAAATACATGCCAAGACAAAAAAAAAAAAAAGGCCATATTTATTTATGAAAATTATATTTGTACCTTTCAAGCAACTGGAATTAGGACAGCTGTTTGTAGGAATAACTATGGGCTTGAACAAGTGTTATCATATTCCTTGTTTAAGTTGTTTAAGTTATTTAATTTACATTATTCCTGTGCTGTGTGGCCATCTACCACTATCTTACACTGAGGACTGAAAATTCTTTGTAGAATCTCTCAGACAGAGATTTAGTAATAAATGAGGACAGAAAGTGTATTAAAAGAGGACAGCTGTTTGTAGGAATAACTATGGGCTTGAACAAGTGTTATCATATTCCTTGTTTAAGTTGTTTAAGTTATTTAATTTACATTATTCCTGTGCTGTGTGGCCATCTACCACTATCTTACACTGAGGACTGAATATTCTTTGTAGAATCTCTCAGACAAAGAGATTTAGTAATAAATGAGGACAGAAAATGTATTAAAAGTAAAGATTTGGTTTTTTCCTGTTTTCTTTATGTCCTCTTTTCCTACTCCCTTCTCAAGATGGCTCAGAGCACAGAGAAGTTTCATGTTAAAGAAACAACATTTCCATGGGCCACGATTTTATAGTTGGCTATAAAGTTGTGTATCTTCCTTACCAATATGTACTGCACCTTCAGCAAGTTGAGTCTACTTGAAAAAGGAAGTGGGATTTCCACTACAATTAGTTTTCTTTAACATATCAGAAAGATGAGGTAAAAAGTGAAAAAGCCCATGGCTAACTAAAGATCTACCAAACCCATAGCAAGGGCAAAAGACCCTAGAAAATATTTCCAAGCATGGCTATTTTTACATGATCCTTGAGGAAAATGTTGTAAGACAATTGTGATAATTGCTACAGCTACTTAAAATAGAATAAGCATGTATGCTTTTCCTTTAAAGGCAGCTCACAGGCTCAATGCATCACCTCTGCAGGCTCCTACCCAATCACTAACCCTGACCTTGAAGACTGAAAACCACATCTACACCTGAGAAAGATGCATTAAAACAACAACAACAACAACAAAAATAGGTACAAATATCTCTTTATACAGTAAAAGTTCCTAGGAGGCTTTATTTGCAACATGTATCCTGTCTGGATTTCCAAAAAATGTCTTCACTAATAAAATTAGAGGCTAGTTTTCCAGAGAGCTTGCCTCGTACAGTGGGCAAATGATAAATGCAAAAAAAAAAAAAAAAGGATAAAATTAAGTTTCATGGATAATCTCAAACCTGAGAATGGGACATCATAATTATTTTTTTTCATTTAAAAAAAAGAATGTGTTTGGGGGAATAGAGTGTCAAACATTTTCTTCCAGGCAGTAGTCTCTTCTGCTGTTTTCCCCATGTTTTCCCCATAATTAAGGATAAAATTAAGTTTCATGGATAATCTCAAACCTGAGAATGGGACATCATAATTATTTTTTTTCATTTAAAAAAAAGAATGTGTTTGGGGGAATAGAGCGTCAAACATTTTTTTCCAGGCAGTAGTCTCTTCAGCTGTTTTCCCCATGTATACTGGAATTAATTTTTCCTTCCCCATAGCAGCAATAGGGTGGCTTAAAGTACACATGATCATAAATTGATTAGCAAGGAGCACTTGGATGGTAATAAGAGTGAGAACTTACTGTCTTGCTGATGTAATTTGTGCTGATATTCATACACTGGAGTCCTTCGCTATTGCAGCAGCCTCCACATCTGTAGATGGATACACATGGGGGTTTAAAGAAGGTGTTTGTAGTGGCTCCAAACTCTTTTCCCACATCCACACACACTTCACGTGGCATGCACTGAGTTTTTCTCCATTCAGTATCAATACCTGCCAAGTTATAGGGAATTTCATTTGTTATAAAGTAACTGTTTCAAAACAATATTCTCCTGCAGGAAGCTAGTAGGGCTTCTTTGAAAGTTTAGAACCAGAATATGCATTGCTCGAGTCACACCCTTTACTCAGTGAATATCACTGTGTCAACTTTTAGCTAATTTTTCTTCTTTGTGGGGATGTGACATATTGTCATAGAGCAGAAGAAAAGTTACAGTGGTGCTAAGAGGGAACCTAACAAAGTTGGGAAGATCTTACAACACAGAATCATAAATAGATTGGGTTGGAAGAGACCTTTAAAGGTCACCTAGTCCAATTCCCCCATGATAAGCATGGACATCTTCAACTAGACCAGGTTGCTCCAAGCCCCCTCCAACCTGGCCTTGAACCCCTCCAGGGATGGGGCAGCCACAGCTTCTCTGGGCAACCTGGGCCAGGCTCTCACCACCCTCACACAAAAGAAGTTCTTCCCCACATCTCATCTCAATCTCCCCTCTTTTGGTGTCAAACCCTTCCCCCTTATCCTGTGGCTCCCCTCCGTGATCCAGAGTCCCCCCCATCTCTCCTGGAGCCCCTTGAGGGACTGGAAGGGGCTCTAAGGTCTCCCCGGAGCCTTCTCTTCTCCAGGCTGAACCCCCCCAACTCTCTCAGCCTATCCTCCCAGCAGAGGGGCTCCAGCCCTCCCAGCATCTCTCTGGCCCCACTCCAACAGGTCCATGTCCTTCTGCTGTTGGTGGCCCCAGAGCTGGAGGCAGCCCTGCAGGGGGGTCTCCCCAGATCTGAGCAGAGGGGAAGATCTTCCACCCCCCCAAGCCCTGCTCACCAGCAGCTAAAGCTGTGCATGTTCCTTCTCCTATGCCTGGGGTGAGTCTAAAGAAGTGAAGTCTAAAGAAGGACTGCACATCTCTGCAAAGTAATTTTAACCGGTCCCACACAGCACTTCACTTGGACACTATATACTAAAAAAAATTAAATTTGATGCCTACGCACTTCACATGAAATTAATTTGAAAATATGTTTACTTTGTTAGATACAAGGGTATAATTTAAAGCAAAAGCTTATTATTGAGCAATTACATTCACCACATGATTTAATCTGGAAGGTGAGATTTGTGCCCAGATTATTCATGCAAATTTGGGCAAACATTTCACATGGTGTTATACAGCATTTTGCCGAATACAATCTTACACCAACAGCTGTGAGACTTGCAGCTGTAGAGGCCAAGTTATTATCTCTGGGCTCCAGTTTTTGGCAGGCTATTCAGCAAAAATGGAAATTTCACCTAACGGGTACCTAATGTCTCCATTAAGGTACATGATTTCCAATATAATGTCAGAAAATACACCTCCTCCTATAAATCCTGTGTTTCTGTGTCTACAAGCACTTGCTGAAACTGTAGCTAATATGTTTTTATCCAGGCCATCTGTAACACTAAGGGATATTCACCTATTTGTTTGAAAGCTGTTTTTTTTTCTGGTTTGAGCATAACATCATGACAACTGCCCTCCTGTACCAGGAAAAAGCTACGAGTGGATTATTTGGCCTCCTAAAGCAATAACATATAAGAGGGGAAAGCATTACCAGCTGTGACGTAATTGCAGAAAATGAGCAGAAACAGTTGAATGAAACCAACTGTTAGTGCCCTCTTTACTTTATTGCAAAATCATTACAGCCTCTACAAAGCAGAATTCCTTATACCTGCAGAAAACCACATAATTTCCTACATCTACTGAGCTGAGAAACCAGTCTACACCTTTCCTACAATGGATGTACCAAAAACCCAACTGTGGAGCAATTTATTTCACTGTGGAAGGCTGACTGTCAATGATTTTATATCACAGACATGACATGAAATCAACCTGCCCAGGTTGGTTTCCTGACGATGTTTAGCTTTTAAAATATTGAGAAACCTTTGGGTTTTTAAATTTATCATGTGTGAGAAGGTGGTTTGTGTCCTGTACTTACTTTTGAGGATCTCTGCATTATAGTGTGCTGCAGCAAATTTCAGGGAATCATCTGATCTCGTGTCAAAGGTGGAGTATTCCCTGTTGTGTTGCCAACCTCCTTTCCTCAATTGACATTTGAACATTTTCCAGTATTCTGGGTAAAGTACTGTCATGAGTTCATCCACACTGGACACAGACCGCAACTGCTCTTCCAGGTCTTTGCTTGCATGAGCCTGTCAAAGTAACATGCAAGATTAATTACTTTTCTCTATTACACAAGGTTTGCTGGAAACTAGCCTGAAAAACAACTCAAACATTGTAAAATAAAGCTGTGCTCCAAGGGTCCTCGTCACAAAACCTCCTTTTGTCAGTCAATGCCAATGGTACTATATTGACAACTACTGAAATGTTTTGCTGCTGCCACTAATTCTTTATCACGCTCGCCGTTCAAAACATCTGTATGAGGAAGGAGCTACAGAATTAAGCCTATACAAATATGATTTGCATATTAAAAAAAACCCAACAGAATAAAAAAAGGCACTTCTTATCCCATAAAAAAAAGTTTTCATGATAAAATTTTGAATACTTAAACGCCAAAATATTTACATGATGTTCATTTTATTTAAGATCACATACTCTTAAAACTAACATGAAATTTTTGCCCGTTTTCCCTTGGACCAGAAAAATCAAAACACCCAGAAATGCCCAAAATGGTGGAATGAGAAAAAAAGACAAAAATAATTCATGTTATTTTGTATCTTATTAAGAATATCTTAATAAGCAAATTGTGTTATAAAACACGAATCCTTAGGAGACTTTGGTACCTTTAAGAATCTGAACCACCCACTCCCTCGCTGCTAAGAGTTTCAACAGAAACTCTTCAGGGCTCTAAGCACCACACTCCTTAACTTCTTGTTTCAAGAGCAGCCTCAAATCCTGTAATTGCGCCGAGTTGCTGGCTTTTACACAAACTCACTGCAATTGCATTTTCCTAAAAAAAGACTCAGATTTACACTCCAATTTCTCAATTATCTGGAAGATTCCTCTATCCTCTTAGATGGAACAACATATTGCATCAAAGGGCCCTTGTTATTCCCTGCCCGCCCTCTCTCATCCCTCAATTGCTGATTTCCCAAAGGGAAGGGCAGGGAGGAGAAGGAACAGCAAAGAACCTCTCGCCACCTTCTCAGCCTTGGTGGCCCTTAGATGGCAGTATGAGACACGGAATATAGAGGTACACATCTTAAAAAGTGTCCAGGGACTGGCTCCAGGCTCTACTACACAACTGCTGCCCTGGGCAAGAGACACCAGGCTGAAACAGCGGAATAAAACCAGAAGTATGAAATGATAGAAACTGAAATTTAAGATTTCTTATCAAAGTCCACTACTAACAAAAGGAATTCTTTCAAATTAAGGAAATTCTTTCAATTAAGTTGATTTGAATTCTTTCAATTAAGTTGATTTGAACGCTACGCAAGTAAAATGACTGGTTCTGGACCAGTTCACCCGAACCAGAACTTCTCCCTCTCTCACAAACAACTCACAGGGCATAAAAGAGGACATGCTCGTGCATCCTCACCAGGTCCCAAGCCCAGGAGAAACACCTGGCTAAGGCAGAGTCACAGACCTCATTTCTGCAACTACAAAAGCCAAAGCTCATACAGATTTTGAAGTCATATTATACGTCCAAGTGTTATGGAGTGAAAAAAATATATTTTCACTACAGCCTCACTAACCGCAGTGTCACCTCACCCCCCAGAGCACTTCATCCTGGGGGATTTTAAAAATCAATCTCTCAGTCTCAGAAACACACTCATTCAGGATTTCATCTCTTTCTTTGCCTCTGTAGAACGGGTCAACTCTGCCCCAAGCCACCCAGCAAGAGTATCTTGGGACCTTGCCTTCAAATTTGTTGGCGACGAATGTGCCAACGTTGGCCCCTGGCTGCCCACCAGCCCTGCTCTCCTTGCAGGACACCACACAGCTTCTCAAACAGTGGGTCATGGACAAAAATCCAAGTGGAGCAAACAACATGGGAATACGCATGGCATGGGAGGTCATGGCGTGGAGGTGGCACGTGGATCCTGTCCCAAGGCTAGATGCCAGTCCATTATGTAAGACACAGGAATGGAAACTATATTTAGTCACCCAGTAGCCAACCCTAGGAGGTCCCAGCAGATCACAGGGGAAGAGAATCCAACCAAAGGGTCACCAACCTTTGGTGAATCCCTTAAAAGCCTGTGCAGCTCACTGTGGGCAAGATGCTGGCTACTGCTCTTTCAGATATTCAAGGTACACGCCTAGATCAACAGAAAAATAAGTACTGAAACTCAAAATTACTTAGTTTCTAAGAAGCCAGGGTATGGAGAAGGAAAGAGGTTATATTTTTTAGAAATAATGTGTGTTGATGAAATCCAATTTGATCAGGAAAGCAAGTCATGTCTTTCCAGCTGAACAGAAAAATTGGTATACACATATAAAATATGTATGATTACAAGTCAAAAAATGAAGAAATTAGTGACTTTAATAAAGTATTGTATCAAATTTAATAAAGTATTGTTTTCAAATAAATTCCTTTCTGGATAATCCATGGGCCAGAGTACCATGCAAAGGATAGAGAATATTGCCTACCATATGAAGTGCTCACTTAATATGAACAAAAGGAAAACAATTTCTGGAGCAGATACATAAAATTACCTTCTTTAAAAAAAGAAGTCACCATTATTGCACCAGAATTATTTTCTGCTTTGTTTAATAAAGCCATTTGGTTGTAAAAACAATTCCAACTTATAAATACATGGTGGAAAACCAATTCGATTACGTTTTTTCTCTCTTCTGAGTTAGCAATAAAGGGAGAAGGAGTTCCATACACGTAAACCAAATGCAGTACCTGCAGTGCCCAGAGTTGGGCAAAAATATAATAGAAAATAGATGTTGATTTTTCAATACATTTCCAATCCTACCTTGATACAGGTTATTGTTGACATGAACATCAAACTATATCTTAAGTCCTGTTTGATTAGAAAAGTGTGTCCAGCACACAGTGAAAGGATCAGTCCATTAAGGATTGCTAAAAGAGTTTCTAAATTTTCAAGAGGGGAATGCAACTGCTTCTGTAAATATGATAGTTGTCTGGAAATATTTTTTGTCCAGATTTTGGTAAATTTCACAAAAATATACTGACTCAGTCCCTGCTCTTTATTCCGAATTCTTTGATTTTTTCTTAATTGTGCATTGGTTTCTAATGCAGGACACTGAGAAAGAATTCAAAACCACAAAATCATCTTGAAATGGAAACCCAGACTTCAACACCAATTTAGAAGTTATGACAAGACACAAAGTAAGTAACATCAACAAAAATATACTACAAATCAGAGAAGACCCAATTTTTCATTGATCTAATGCAAGCCCAGATTAGTGAAGTTTGGGAAGAAAAATATTTCTGTTGGTAGATACAATTACTGTCACCAAGCTAGTTAGTCCCAAATATAAACTTAAATTTTAAGAAAAAAAAAAAAAAAAAAAAGAAAAAGGAAAGAATACTAAAAAAATTATCTATTGTTTGAAGGGAGTACAATGCAAGAAATGTTTTGATAAGAGAGATTCTGTAATTTTTAATACTAAAGTAAGCTTTTTGATAAATGTAAATAGTGTGTTGATTTTCTTATGAATCAGATGCAGTGTGCTCCACATGGAATCCTGGGCCAACTCTTTAACGCTTTACTGGAAACACATTCTGGGATCTATGTTCTACATGGAGAAGGATTTATTGCTGTCCTTTCATTGGCCATTCAACTGTTTTTGTCAATTTTACATATTATCAATGTTGTCCTACAATATCACTTAAAAATCCTAGAACCTATACTTTGGAGAAAGATGCTGACTCAACCTTTGACTAGCCCATCTCTACAAGAGGATCGATGATATTGAGGAAAATAACAACTTAAAATACAGGGATGAACGGAGAATACAGTAAAGACAAACTGGCTTCACTACTTCTGCATTATTTCCACATATAAATAAAGCAGTAAAGCTTCATGACAAGTTCTCTCTCCCTATTATTGATTTAACTTAGGAACATTTTATTCTGTCAAAGTGTGCTTTTTCACAATGTGGGTTTCCACTACATGCTATGTCCAGGTTTTCATTAAATTATAGCTTGCGAGAGGAGAGGCAGGAAACCAAATGGGCTCTATACCCATTAACAAAATCAAACCTATAATAGATTTTCCATGCAGTACATTATTTGTCTTCTGCACGTCCCCAGTGTCTGTCTCTATTATTAATAACAAAGGTCAGAACACTTAATATTTGGCAGCATGCTTGACACATAATTGATGGTGCAATGTGCTGTAACGGTACTTTACGCATCTGCTCCGATTATAGTTGTCAGCTCATTTCATTTTCAAGGATTTTGTTGACAATTCTTAATAGGAAAATGCTGTCTATAAAATATTGCATTTTAATATGTTTGTGTTCTGCATTTATTGACTGACTGAAATGTATTAAAAATCAAGCAGTTAAATTCTAATGTGGAAACAAAACAGTGTGCGACCAAATGGAAATATTGCAAAAGAAAATTATGTATAAACACTTCACTTGCATAATATTTTATTGCAATTTTCATGTATTCCAGCACTAGTGGTTTTTTTTGGAAGTTGATGCCAGTAAAAAAAGAAAATATCCCAAATAAATATCTTAGGCATAAATAAATTCAACTTTTTTACCCACCTCTACAATCACGCTGGAATAGGGTTCATTTTTCTCTCATATGCACCAATTTATCACTAATAAAACTGAAAACTGTCTGCAGTTGTAAACTTTTAAGTTACTATTAAATATTGCAAGAAAACGGTGCCTTACAGAAGCGAAATGGTAATAGGGAGCAGTTTTTTATTTCAAGTTACTTTAAATAAGTAGTAAGACCCCTGCAGTTAATTTGTACTAAATCAAAACATCATGAGAACAACAGAGATTAGAATCAGTCTCTGTTCCAAAGAGCTTACAGAGGACGTCAGACAAATAAAACAAGAGAGAATGAAAGTATAAAATAAATAAAATAATCTGAACTATATTATGTTTTAAGTGATTTTGATTCATTCTGGCATTTAAAATACCAAGAATAACACCAGGCAAAGAAAACAAATAAATGATGGGTGGGGGGAAGAATGTACAACGTGGATCTGCAAGGGGAAAAAATGAGTTAGAGGAGGGATTTGAAAGAGAATTTGTT